CTCGAAACTTGGGGTCGTTACTTCTATAGCACAATGTCATGCCCCTAGTTGAAGCCCGCCCCATGCGGCACTCGAAACTTGGGGTCGTTACTTCTATAGCACAATGTCATGCCCCTAGTTGAAGCCCGCCCCATGCGGCACTCGAAACTTGGGGTCGTTACTTCTATAGCACAATGTCATGCCCCTAGTTGAAGCCCGCCCCGTGCTTCTGACCGTGCGGCACTCGAAACTTGGGGCATGAGAATAAGGTAACTTTCTGGTGATGTTTAGAGAAGGTTTCAGGCCACAAAGATGCCCAGTATTCCAGTAACATATAATACCACTTGGTCCCACCATATACCCTCTCTCTCTTAAACAGAATTATAATTGGTTGAGTTTCAGGGTGAAGTACAAGCAAGAAAGACGCATTGGAAGTAGTTGCAGTCGATGCTTTTTTCTTACTAACTGTATTTCATTACACATCGAGGATTTTTTTTTTAGAAATTGCTAAAATAATAAAATACATATACCAATCACATAACCAAATGTTCTGCATTTCTTTCTTTCTTTCCAAATGTCCCATCTAACAATTCAATCCAATTTCGAAATCGGAAGAAAGCTCCAATGAAGAACAAGATGCCTCACTGATTGCGGCCACACCCAATTGAAATAAAAAACAGCAAGAATCCAATTTCCAAAACTTCTAGGAGCATGGGTAATAGAGAAAGAGATGGTTATTGGTTTCTTCAATTGGTCAGCAAATAGTGTTCTATTCCCCGAAGAAAGCCAAGAGAAAGCTTTTTTGCAAGGAATTTCTACTTTTTGCTGCATGCTCAATCAATAAGAACAATGTTTTTAAACTTGCCTCGGGCCTTGGACTCAGCCCTGGCCCTAATCGAGTAGTATTGATGGATTCAGTCGAGTAGCGTACGGGTGCCAAAAAAGCCCTAAAAAGTAAAACCAGGGCTCAGCCGTAGTGTGCAGGGGCCAACTTGGTCGAACCTTGTTCTGATTTTGTCAAATTGGACTGAGTGAATCGGGGCCCGAGGAGTCCCAACCCTAGTCCTAGTTCTTAAACACTAGTACAAACAAACTAGGGGTAGAATTGCGAATCTAACAGAGTAAGTGTTCTTTATACGTGTTAATATCATCTACTGGCCACTTCACAATTATCC